GCAACTTCTCTCTTTCCCTCTATCCTCCTCTACCTACTCTGAATCCACTAACCTTTTAGTTCTGTTACCTTCCCTCACCCAAAAGATGAAAAGGAAGCTAGACAAATGCCTTACAAAGTTATGACCTATGATCAATCACATCTGTTTCTTTACGTCTTGGTCAAAATCTTGAGCTCAGAGTAAGTGAAATGTTCCCCTGTCCCAAAGAAAAATCCCCCAAAACTTGCTAAGTATTTAGAATTCTCATTAAAACATGAGATCCAGTCTCCAAAATATGCCTTTCTGTTATAATAACTATTTTCAGCCAACTAATTTTGTTTTGTAAGAGAAATTTACATCTATAAAGGAAATCTCCATTTGTAAGGGTGTCTCCTTGACACAACAGGAGGACTAAATCACTAGAAACTTAGAATGAAGAAAGCAGAAGCTTAAATCTGCATAACAAGCCTTACTTTTGTTGAAGACGCTTTTCCTGTCCATTTTGTCTTAACCATACCTTTACTTACATCCTTCTTTCCTTGTTTCAGCAAATGATGGTATTTAATTAAGTATGAAGTCTAAGCTCTGTACCTTTGAGATGTAAATGTTCTATGCTGTTTCACCTAAGAGCCATCTGTTTGGAAATGCAAATTTAGGGGGGATGACTCATAAGAAGAAAACGAGGGGAAACTGTGTGTAAAATGGCAAATGAAAAAATCTTAAAAGTCTTTTTCACCAATGTCAGTAAGAAGTTTAGCCATCTGGGTGGTTAATCCTCTCTCATTTGCCACGATTTGAATCTAGCTATTCTTTTATAAACTAGTGATTTTTCTATCTGTACCTGGCACATAGCTAAAATTTTTAAATGAAACTATATGGGCTAGCCTGTTAGCTCAGTTAGTTGGAGCGTGGTGTTGATAATGCCAAGGTCAAGGGTTTGGTAACCCTTACCCTTACCTCTGCAAAACAAAAACAAAAACAAAAACTATGATCTCTTTGCATCTGCCGACATAATTATGTATGTCTATGTATGTTATATATGTATGATTTTTTTTTTTACCTCTGGATGGCATTAAAAGAGCTCTATTTAATTGGCTTAAAGAAAAATAAACAGTTATACAAATTAATATTCCTTAAACTCTAAGACAGGAACTAACCCCAAATGTTTTTCAAGTTCATGTGACTTGGGTAAGTAAGACTAGTCTAATATTGTTGGTTTAATAAAAACAGTTGTGTCTTCTGTTATCAGCTTTAAGTACAACATTAAATAAAAATTATAGGAGGCCACTGTTTTGGACTGTTTCTGCACTAGGCCCCAAAAGACCAGACTAAAAATCAAAATGGAGTCACCCCATTTCAATTCACATCACTAAACTCAAACTAAATTGCTGTCTGACCTTCTGAGAAATCAGGAAAGAAAGATAATAACCAATTTCCCAATCATGGTAGTTTAAATCTTCAATAGGCATGATAATGAAGTTCCCTCTGCTTTAATCATTATACAAAATGGATAGCCTGAAATAACCTGATGTTTAATAATCAGTTCTTTTTCTATTGTTTTGTCTCCCTGTTACCACCTTACAAGGAAAGGATTACTTTGAAATGACCAATCTGCTTTTTGTTCTTTGTTTCTGCTTTCTTTAGCCCTTTTTCTATCAAGTCAACCTCTTTTGCTCTGCTCATTAGAACACTTATTCTATTTTATCAAAGTGTTGCCCAATTCTAGAAATGCAATATAGCCAGTTGAGATCTTTAAAGTCTTGCGATTTTGTCCTTTGACAATAATATGAGCCTAACATTTTTATTTTAGCTGCTTTTACTAGTCAAATAAGTCTGTTATCTTTCCTAGATGTTAAAGATTACAGAACTATGATTTCAACCTAAGGACAAATATGCAAGTGGAAGTGCAGTATCCATTACTTCATGTATATCAAGGACAACAGTAAAGCAAAATAAAAAATCCCATGCATTTAACATTTTTTTAGGATTCTTGTTTTCATGATGACTGCCTAGCATGAACATGATGTTAAAAATAGGTAATACGGAAATAACTTGATGATGGCTGGCTTTGTTTTGTGTTATAATACGTCTTCTTAAAAAGAATTTCCAAAATCTTTTTGGTAACTTACACCCTTGGAGTTTTGCTAAGTTGAATTAAATGACAAATACTCATTAACTATCTAGATCATTTTCAAGTAAGATATAATACTGAAACATTAACTGCTGAACAAAAGTTATCCACTTTTGGCTTCTTATTCCAGAACTAAAAATATTTGGGTCTGTTAGCAAACATGTCCTGTGTCACATTCAAAAACTGTACTATGAGGAAGCACATGCTTCTAAAAATCAAAGTTACTAAAAGGTACAAATTCTAATATACAGTAATTAAAACTAGAAATAAGGGAAATAACTGTGTGCAAGGAAAGTAGTATGTGTTTTTGGTAAAGAAATCTGTAAGGTATAAAGGCTGTACACTTGTTAAGGGAAGAAGAGTAATTTCGGTCATCAAGTAGAATGACTGGTTGTTCCACTATAGAAAGGAAAGAGGAAGAATACAGGACAAAACTGAATGAATTTAAGAAAAGTATAGGCTTGGGAAAGAGGAATCTTGAAAAAGGAATTTTAGGGCTGGCCCGGTGGCGCACTGCTACAGTGCGCCGCTTGCGAGCGCGGCGGCACTCCCACCAAGGGTTCGGATCCCACATATAGACCTGCCGCTCACTGGCTGAGCGAGGTGCAGGCGCAACACCGAGGGTTGCGATCCGTTGCCAGTCACGAAAAAAGACAAAAAGGAAAAAAAAAAAAAAAGAAAAAGGAATTTTATGTGTGGTCAAGCTGGCTAATATTTGAATGAATTTATTTACAAGTTATTAAAAAAAATGATAAGCCTTAGTATCTATCAAAAGTACATTGGTACAAAGTTTCCTTGGAGTACTGGTCTGTTCCTGCTTTATTAGGTCTCTGATTATTTAAGAAAACATTTTTGAACTTGCTTAATTTTTGCTTTATCCTCTGACTTCAAAAATTCTATTACATAAAAGTATTATACACCAATGCTTTAAATTTGAACCTGTCAGTAATGAAACAGTTTTCTAAACCAAGTCATTAAGTTTCTAAACCTTAAACATTCAAGGCATCTTAAAATCCTAGATTAGGACTAATTTCAAGCTTATCTCCCTACATACTATCTCTATTTGTTAAATTCTGTTCAACAAATATTTAATGAGTAACCAAAAACTAAGTGCTAGGGAATTCAAAGATGAAAACTCATAGAACCTTCCCTAGAGCAGCTGATAATGCAGTGATTCTCACTACTTTAGAAGGTTCCAGATCCTTTTGAGAATTTTATAAAATATATGAACCCTTTCCCCAGAAAAATACATACTTTTTCAAAAATTTGCATACAATTTCCAGGAGTTACCTTCACCTGGAGTCCATTTATCACTTCCTTAAAACTCATGGAGCATTGCTGAAGAGCTCCTGGTCCAGTAAAATTAGACTTTTTCTTAGAAAGGGGAAGGTGGGACTAATTCCAAAGAAAACCCAAAAAACCAATATATGAGATGACACAAAATCACATAGATTGGATAGTATAAAGACAAATATCCCACGATGAGTCAGATTATCTGTACTCAAATCTTGGTTCTGCCACTTACTGACTTTGGACAAGTTCCTTACCTCCCTAAGCCTTAGTTTCCTCATCTAAAGAATGGGAAAGGTGATAATACCTGGCTCTTAGGGTTGTTTTAATAATTAAATAAAATAAGGCAAGCAAAAGATAGCACAGTACTCAGAGACAGAGGCACAAGCACAGATCTAGAGTCCCTTGAATCAATTCCTTGTCTTTACAGCTGGAGTCCACATACATCCTCACAATAAACCCTAAGTTTCTTACAAAAGAGCCCAACTAAAACATTATCTTCTCTCAAATCCCACCATTGCCTAAAGTAGCTAATGACTTCAAAAACTCTTTTAAACCCTAAGATAATCTTAGGTGGCAAAAATAGTGATATTAAGTTTACCTGCTTTTATTTATTCAGTGTAAATCCCTTCCTCCAGAACCAGATTTATTAGAAAAGTAGATGAATAGTATGGCAGCAACTCTGCATTAAATTGGCAGAGCTGACTGTGTAAGAACATATGTAAAAAGCTTTGTAAATTAAAGCATAAGATAACTTATTTACTTACATTTATTTTATGTCTGCTCTAGCTAGCAGTCTTGCCAGAATTTTGGTTTACCAGTTTAAGCTGGTTTTTTTTTTTTTTTTTCCCAAATTACACACCTACTATAGCATATGTAATCTTGCTTTTTAAACATCAAAACCCATATACCATGCTTATGTATTTTTACTTATTTAACTCTAGTAGTTGTACTATGGTTCTTCATCAATAAGTAGTTACTGATGAACTTCAGTGTCTTTTATTATTTTAATCCGTACATAATTTATTAATCAAAAAGAATTTTAAGGAAGACTGGGCACCTCTGCTTTTAAAAAAAAAAAAAGGCCATCTAAACTAATGCAATAGAATGTTATACCCCTATTTTTAAAAATTCATTTGGACTGATGCTCTGTCCAAAACAAAATTAGGCAAACACACTAAATCACTCTAGTTTCTTTCATTTTCTAACATAAATATTACAGAATTTTCAAAAAAGTACTACATATTTTCAAAGTAATTGGATAATATTTTTACACTTTTTCCTTCTTGGATGAGATACTGTTAATATAATTTATAGCTATCTTGTATTAACTGTAATCTAGCACAGTTTTTAAATTTAAACTTTGAAAATGTAAATAAAACACAAATATTCTTCTAAATAATGCTTGCTCCTGAAGTTATATCATTTAGATGAACAAAAAGTATCTCTTCCAACTAAAAAGCAATAAGATAAAATTAAAATTTATGACCTATGATCTTAGGCAAGTTACCCTCTCTGGGACTCTAGTTACATAACGTAAAAGAGGATGCTTTATGATTGTGCACAGCAATATGAAAGGGGGAAGATTAATATATCTTACCTTTTTCTTCTTTTCCCACTCCTAGAATGAAATAAAAAATAGACAGCACTCAGTTTATAAAATAACACAATATACCACCTTTCCGTCCCTCATCTGTCCCTGCTGTACAGCTACAGAGAAGACTTGAAGGCAAGGCTTCCAACCAAAGTCTTTTATAATGCCTGAGTTTTTCACTTACTGTCCAAAATTTTACCAATCAGATAGTATATGAGTTAATAAATCTCGTCTTTAAAGCACAATCACTTCTGAGAAGATTAAAGGGCTTTTACCAGTTGGTAGGTCAGTCAGTCAGTCATTTTAACATTATAACTGATTCCCTGACATTCACTATATAAATTACTTGAAAACAAATTCTAAAATATAACCAGCACATATAATTTATATATAATGTCCTTGTAAAATGCTTTAGACAATGGTTCTCCACTTTTTAGGTAGAAGAACCTCTTCATTTACAATAAAATTTTCAGATCCCCACAACAGTACTTTTGATATTCACTTACTAAAATATGACAAAAATCTACTGTGAATACAACAGTTCTTTGTATTCTACTCATAGTAGTATTGATATATAGTTGAAAAATAACAGCACAATATGAGACAGGCATACCATTTATTAGGCACTTAGACCATACTAAAAATGAAAAATGGGAGCAGTTCCCAAAATGTTCTCAGTCCACATTTGAAAAGTACTGATATAAACTCTAACAGAAAAATGTAGGCAACCTAGCTACTATACATGTAGGATAAAGAATGATTTAGAGAGGCTGGGCTAAACTCTAAATCCAATTGGTTCAATCTTCATGGAAGACAATCACATTATTAAATCTTATAAAATCATACAATTTTTATTAACAAAGCTTTACAATACTGTAAATTAATTCAATCAAATGGTTTTCCCTAACATTTAGTTAAAAGTAGTTGAATTAAGGGAATAAGAGGAGTTGGCATTTGGTCAAGTGGGAAAGGAGAGGGCAGTATCGTACAATGGTTAGTATATGGCCTTTCAAGTCATATTGCTAAAGTTGACCCAACAACATAACCCAGTAACTTCCCTCTCTACCCTATAACCTTGAACATAATCATCAGATTCCTCATTTGTAAAATGATGTGATAAGCATCTACCTCATAAAACGCCTAAGAAGACCAAATAAAATAATGCACATAAAATGTTTACACTTGCCAAACTCTCATTTAATGGACCTATCTATTACAGAAAATTTTGAAGTATTGAGCACTTAGATGTTTGGCCAAGATTATAGTAAAGCAGGAAGCTTAGGGTAGTATGAATCGGAGAATAGGAATTAAGAGATGAAAGAATATAGGAAAACCTAAGAAGCCACAAATAATCCTTCTTCCTCTTCTTCTCACTCCCGGAGAATATGATCCACTGCTGAGGATCCAAAACTTAAACTAGTACAATATTAGGACTAAAGTTTTAAATAGACTTCTGTAGGCTTGCCTGAGAACTTAAAAACAGTATAGTAAAACATGTTCCAAGTTCAAAAACTGTTTTACACGTGATCTGGAAGACAATCTATTCAAAAATTAGGGACTATTTTTCCTTTTGGAATTTTTTTTTTTTTTTTTTTTTTTTCCTTTTTTTAGATTGTCTTGTCTTTTTAGGCTTGTGGGCTTATGGAAGGGTTGGCTCCAAAGACTTCTGCAATGCCTTTAGGGCCTTTTTCCCCTCCTCTTGATATTCATTTTCTTATGTACTTATCTCCTTAGCAGATGGTTGCTAAGCTACACCATTACATTTTTCCCATGAAAATG